CGTGATGGTAGGGATGGGCTCGCAGAGGTTTAGAAAGCCACATCGGTAGCCAGAGTGCTCCGTGCGTCCTTCTTTTCAAGCTTAGTAGAGCCAAGGTCTAGTTAGAACTGTCTCTTTGGCCAGAGACTGGAGTCAGGAGAGTGAAGATGAACAGGCATATCCCTGTGAACATGAAGCCCACACCAGAGAGCCCCTGGAATTCTTCACCTCCTCCCACTGTGGGTTGGCATCCTTCGTTGGCTTGCCAGACTCTCATCCCCCATAAGGACCACCGTTTGACATTGACTGCCACCCCACAGTGGCAGTGCCAGATAGTGTTCCATGCTCAGTCTTCCGCAGAAGGCCAATCCACCGTGGAGCTCCCTGGGGGGGGGGGCGAATACGCAGTACAGCTGTGCTCCTTAGATGCTGGGGCCATGGACAGCATCCCCCAAAACAGACAATGCCACAGGCACCCATCAGTACTTGAGTTCTTACTCATGTGGTCCCAGCATGCAGGTTTGTGAGCTTGGGGTCTGCTGGGAAGGCTCAGTTCACTGGATGTAGAAACGGGTACTTTTCTAGGAACAAGCCTGGAGGGTGGTCGTGGTCAGCAAGTTGACTGACTACTGGCTGCCAGGGGTTGCACACCAGGCAATGAGGCAGGGTCTCCATGGGCACCCTTGGGTCTAGAATGTTCAGTGTGACTTCTGCCTCCCTTTGAATTTATCACAAGCCAGGTATATTCCTGAGGATGTAAAGACTGTTGATTTCTCAGATGCCGAGAGGATATGGAAGACGTGGCTAGAGCCATGCAGAGCATGAAGGTCTCGTTTCTGTTCTCGGACTCCTTACTCATCTTCACATTTACATGGTTGTGGTTGGTGGGGATAGGGGGATAGGTCATGACACTTTTTTTTTTTTTTTTTTTTTTTTTTGCTCTCTAGGATTTTATGGTCCACATTAGGAGAGGGTGGATGAGGAGGTAGGAATTTGAGTTCTGGGATTAACGTTGCTTCTTGAGTGTCCTGATGGCCCTCAATTTTCTGACGTATGAAATGGATAGGTTGACCTCCATTATTACCAGGCTTTGTAGTAGGACTCTCTGGTTGTAACTGCCAGCTCCCAAATAATGACACGAAGACTTTTTATTAATTACAAAAGCTTGGCCTTAGCTTAGGCTTGTTCACAGCTAGCTCTTATACTTAAATTAACCACTCATATTAATCTATATTCTGCCACATGGCTTGTTACCTTTCCTCCATAATGTATGTCTCCTCCCTCCACATCTTGCTGGTGAAATCCTAGATTCTTCCAAGTTCCTCTCTCTTCCTGGAAGTCCGGCCTATTCTCTTCTGCCTAGCTATTGGCCATCAAGCTCTTTATTAAACCAATCAGAAGGCACCTTGCCAAAGACAACTTCACAGGGTGCAAAAGATTATCCCACAAGGCTTCCTCTCCAGAGCTGCCATCTCAGAGTATTCTGGCCTCCTCTTTATCATCTTCTCACAGTATTTGGATGGAGGATGCCCCGCCAGCCTGAACAATACCCACGCTTTTAAGACACCCCCTCGGCTGTTCTCTCCAAAGTCCTTCTTACGCATCACAGCTTTCGTGTTCCCTTTGCATTAGGGACCATCATCTCATTCAGTCCCTAGTTTGTGTGGTCTTACCTCCATCTCCCACCAGTATCTTCTTGAGGTTGTCACTCAGACAGTTGTCCCGAGATAGGAACCTTCTTTTCATAGTCCTGTGTTCCCTATATGACCACCCAGATGTAGTTCCCATAGAGAGAAAACTGCCGAGACCAGAGTTTGTGTAGCAGGTCACTAAGCAGTCCCATCCTGATGAGCTGCAGTGCTCTTCGTAGGCACCAGCTTCTCTCCAGCAGTGGCATTGGCATCTTATTTGCTCATTTTATAAAAGAAGGGTCTTTGCTTGGGTGCCCATGTGGCAGTGCAGGCTGCCCAGGGCTGTGGACTTCCCTGAACAGATGAGGGTGTCCTTTGCCCAGCCTGGGTCTGGTGTTCTGCCTCCAGGTGGAAGGGTGACTCCGTGGTGAGCTGGACCAGTTCTCCTTTTCAGCCAGTTACCTCCCTGGATGCAGGACTGACAGGGGGGATGCTGCTTCTCTGAGAGGTGTTTTAAGGATGAGTTATAAGCAGTGCTCAAGGATCTCAGATTCCTGTGTTGTGGGCTACATTCCCTAAGAGGAATGTTCCTAAGGGGAAGTGCTCAGGTTATGAGCCTATTAGGGGCCCATTCAGACAGGAACTGTACCAGTGAGGGAGACGGGGATCTTCAGGAAGATCCAATACTCCCTTAGTAACCTAAATACTAAAATTGGACCAGTACCGAGATTAGTACAGCCTCTGAGCAGAGGGACACTGATGTCTGCTCTGCCCTCCCAGTGTATACCCGTCCTCTAGGATTGCACTTTCTAGGAGGAGGCAGTGATGGATGACTGGAGATGTTGACAGTGCAGGACAGATGAGGCCATAGTTGTCCACCGGGACCTGCACAGAGCTGCAGCAGAACGCTAGGACTGTGGTGCCTGGACAGCAGAGGATGCACATGGCAAGGGATGGGCTGACCACTGATGACTTCCGTATCAGTGAGTGCAGTGAAATTACCATAATTGCTTTGTTTGCTTCCCTTGAAATATACTTTTGGCCAGGCGATTGCCCAAGGTGATTTCTTTCTGGCTGCCTTCAGTCCTTCTGTGTGTTCCTGGGGTGGTGAGAGATGGATCAAGAATCTGCATGTGAGCCCCTCTGCTCAGAGGGAATCATGTGGAAGGAGCTTGCGGTACTGGCTTCAGAGTCAAGTCGGAGTTCCTTTTTCACTCCACCATTGACTTCTTGAGTGAGGCTCCTGGTTTTTAACCTTTTATTTCTCAGAGAAGGTTTTATATAGCCCAGACTGACTTCAAACTTGCTATGTAGCTGAGGCTAGCTGTAAACTCCTGATCTTCCTGCCCCTATCTTTCAAGTGTTGAAATTACAGGTATATGCCACTATGCCTGACTTGTCTATTATACTTTTTAAATTTATTTTTATTTTATGTGCATATACATGTATGTCTGTGCACCGTGTACATGTAGTGCCTGCAGAGGACAGAAGGTGTCAGATCCCCTGGAGCTGGAGTTACAGATGGTTCTGAATTGTTGTGTGGGTGCTGGGAATTGAACCTGGATCTCTCGAAGAGCAGACAGTGCTCTTACCACTAAGCCACCTCTCCACCTCTCCAGCCCCTTGTTTTTTAACCTTTCTAAGTCATTAGTTCTTCTAAAACTGGGAATTGTACATTAGTGGGTAGAGCTACCTTGTGGTTGACAGAAGCCCTCCCTGGGGATGGGGAGGTGAGGCCTTTCTTACCTTCACAGCCCAGTCATTATCAAGGGTCAATGTCCTAGTCTCTGTCTTCTTCATTCACAGAATCAGGGTGATAGGATTTTGCTGCTGGAGATGGTAGTATGTCCTGTCCCTGTCTCCCTAAGGCTCTGCTTTGCTGTATGTAAGGGCTACTTGAGATATGGGTGTGAATGCTCATGCCACAGACAATGGACAAAAAGAAAGAAAAATGTCTGGAGAAAATGTTCGTGTTTTGGGGGTGTCTCCAGACCCAGATAGCCAACCATTGATATAGCTCAGCAGAACTTGAAGAACTTGGGGACTGTAACTTTCATGCAAGGACATTCTTTCCTGGCAAACATTATCTTTCCCTAGGGCTGTCATCAGGGTCCTTCCGCTGTGTCCCAGACCACCTTCTAGAGCAGCAGGACCCCTGTGGCCTGTGTCTGCTCTCCACCCTTGGCTTAGGGCCTCATCCCCAGGCCTGCAGAGTCACCGCTAAGGCTTCTAGACACATAGACTCCCTGGTTATTAGCAGGCAGCTCCGGCTTCCAGGCTTTGGTTTTGACATTGTTTATGGCTGCGGGAGGAAACAGCCTCTTTAGTCCTCCTGTGGGGGTTGCAGTGTGATGCTGGCAGCCGTGGGGTCCTCATTTGCCTGGGCAGACCTTCCTCCCAGCCCTACACCCAGAGCAGGCAGCTTGCTGCTCTCTTGGCTTTGCTCTGCCCTGAGCAGCTGGATTCTCATCTGTTGTAACTTTGGCTCTTTTGTGTTGTAGAAAAGTCACATAGAATATCAATGAAGGCTTTGTTTCTGTCTCACATAGGAAAACAGAACAAGTAACAAATGAATCAGTTTTTCTGACAAGTTGTGATTTCTCTGTAAACCAACTTAAAGAATGGCTATTGCTTCCTGGAGCCCCCCCTCCCCTCAGTGTCAAATGCCAAATTCTGCACCACTGACAGAGGCCAAAATGGCCAAGTGCTGGTCTCTGTCCTCCAGGGAGCAGTGATGCCCTGCAGCTGAGCAGGTAGAAAGGGTTGCTGAAAGCAGGGGTGGGAATCGGGGGGCGGGGAACAGGACACCCCAGCACTCTGAGTTGGGCATGAATATTACTTCACCCACCCATTCCTGTCCATGCATAGGACCCAGCCCAAATCCTCCTCTTCCAGAGGTTTACAGGATGTCTGTATCCAGGCCTGAGGTGATAGTATCTTTTATCCTTCTTGTCTGGCAGTCTCTGACACTTCTACCCCAAAGTGAAATCACCTGGATGCCTTGGGTTGACACAGGGGTCCATAGTGTGTACCTTCTAGGACACTCGCCTAGTCAGAGGCTAGATGAACATAGGGGCCCTTGGGATTGAACAGAATGGATTCTGCAGTTAGAAAAGGTTTCAGGTTGCTGAAAGTGACTTTGCATCATTCAACAACTACAGCAACAAGCCAGTAGCCTTGTGTGTTCTCTACTTTCTGTTAGGCACCAAGTCTCCCAGGATGTAGGCCTGTGTTTATCATTTTAATTTTTAAGGCTCATTATACATCCCAGACCATCCCAGATCCCAATCCCCAATCCCCCTGCCTCAGCCTCCCGAGTAAGTAGCTGGATTACAGAGGTATGGTAGCATACCTAAATCTTACTGTCCTGTTTTGAAATTACTCCTCCAGAGATCCTACGGATCATTCAGCTGGACCTTGACCTGAAGTACAAGACCAACATCCGAGAGCTGTTCGAGGAGTTTGACAACTTCCTGCCAGGTGCTGTTATCGGCATAGCCCGAGAGATGCAGCCAGTGTACAGGTAGGTGCTGGCTGTTGCAGGGAGCCTGAGGAGCTCCTCCCATTCTGCCCTCTCTTTTGCCACTTAAGGCTGCTTGGGTGCAGCAGCATGTGGTGTTTCTGTACTTGGAGGCATGTCTGCTGACTCTGGCAGGGAGGGGGTCCGCTCCAGAGCTGGAGAGGCTGCCCCCCTAGAGGGGGGGAGGCTGGGACTTTTTTCTTCAAAACGCCCAGTTGTTCAGGTTGTTGGCTCTGGTTAAGCTCACAAGGTTAAAATTCCTAGGCACATAACAGAACACATAACATAAAATATCTTGGGGGTAACTCTAACCAAACAGTGAAAGACCTTTATGATAAGAACTTTAATCTTTGAAGAAAGAAGTCAGAAAATGGAAAGATCTCCCATGTTTTTGGATAGGTAGAATTAACATAGTAAAAATGGGCAGTCTTACAAAAAACAGTCTACAGATTCAGTGCAATACCCATCAAAATCCCAACAAAATTCTTCACAGACCTCAAAAGAACAATACTCAACTTCATATGGAAAAACAAAAAATCCAGGATAGCCAGAACAATGTTGTACAATAAAGGGACTTCTTTAGGTATCATGATCCCTGACTTCAAACTCTACTATAGAGCTACAGTACTGAAAACAGCCTGGTATTGGCATAAAAACAGACCCAGATACCAACACACATCTACGAACACCTGGTTTTTGACTTCTTTGTTAAAAGTATAAAATGGGAAAAAAAAAGAGCATATTCAACAAATGATGCTGGCATAACTGGATATCAACATGTAAAAGACTGCAAATAGATCCATATCTATCACCATGCACAGAAAGCAAGCCCAAGTGGATCAAATTCCGCAACATAAAACCAACCACATTGAACCTCATAGAAGAGAAAGTGGGAAGTACACTTGAATGCATTGGCACAGGAGACCACTTCCTAAATATAACTCCAGTAGCACAGACACTGAGAGCAGCAATTAATAAATGGGACCACCTGAAACTGAAAAGCTTCTGTAAAGCAAAGGTCATGGTCAACAAGACAAAATGGCAGCCTACAGAGTGGGAAAAGATCTTCACCGACCCCAAATCTGACAGAGGATTGGTCTCCAAAATATACAAAGAGTTTAAGAAGCTAGACATCAAAATATCAAATTATTCAATGAAAAAGGGGGTACAGACCTAAACAGAGAACTCTCAACAGAGAAATCTCAAATGGCTGAAAGACACTTAAGGAAGTGCTCAGCATCCTTAGCCATCAAAGAAATGCAAATCAAAACAACTCTGAGATACCATTTTACACCTGTCAGAATGGCTAAGATCAAAGACACTGATGACAGCTTATTCTAGAGAGGATGTGGAGTCAGGGAAACACTCCTTCATTGCTGGTGGAAGTGCAAATTTGTACATTTGCTTTGGAAATCAGTAGGGCAAATTCTCAGAAAATTGGGAATCCATCTACCTTAAGACCAGCAATACCACTTTTGGGCATATACCCAAAGAATGTTCAATCATACCACAAGGTCATTTGCTCAACTATGTTTATAGCAGCATTATTCGTAATAGCCAGAACCTGGAAACAACCTGAATGCCTTTTAAGCAAAGAATGGGTAAGAAAAATGTGGTACATTTACACAAAGAGTACTACTCAGTGATAAAAAATAATGACATCTTGAAATTTGTAGGCAAATGGATGGAACTAGAAAAAAAAACATACTGTGTGAGGTAACCCAGACCCAGAAAGACAAATATAATATGTACTCACTCATGCGTGGCTTTTAGACATAAAGCAAACGATAACCAGACCCTAGAGAACCTAAACAGCAAAGAGGACCCTAAGAGAGATATACATGGATCTAAAGAGGAAGGAGAAAAAAAAAAAACCAAGATCTCCTGATTAAATTGGGAGTGTTGGAGCCATGGGGGAGGGGAGGAAGGAAGAGGAGAGAGGAAAAAATATGCAGCTCAATAAAACAATAAATAAAATTAAAAAAAAATCCTCGGCTTCGTCTGGCAGCGGTGTCAGGATTTCCCCTCTAGCGTGGTGAGCTGTGTTTTCACTGACCTCCTGTTACTGTGGCTGTCACACCAAAGGAGAGTGGGTGGATAGTCGTGCAGAGGGAGCAGCAGAAGCAGCTGAGGACACTGGTCAGGGTAAACAGGCACTTCCTCCCAAGGTGACACTTTCTTGTCAGATTACCACAGAGAAACCAGGAGACATGCTTAGAATGTTCTCTACACCGCTTAAATGTTCCTGACAGCAGAGTGGTTAAATAAAATGTCTCTACCCAGTTGAGTACTGTATAGCAGGAAAAGAAAGATCACTCGTAGCTGTGTATGGTGATAGGCAAGCAAACACCAGGGCTAAAAATCACAGGGAAAACCAAGGAGATGCTCCCCAAAGCCAGCACAGGTCTTGGGTACAAAGGGGGTGGTGCGGTGGTGCTTTACTCCCCGCCATGGTCCACATGTGTTGCACATGTGTTATATTGAGAGAGAGAGAGAGAGAGAGAGAGAGAGAGAGAGAGAGAGAGAAGGAGAAGTAAGTTTGTGTTCAGAGCCAGTCACAGCTGAGGTCAACTCACCCCTCCCCCACCCCCACCTCTGCCTGGTAGATTGACAGCCTCTTCCAAAGCCAACTCTGATCAAGTTTGCTCTTGAAGACCTAGAATTTGTCTTCTTTGGGCTCCTGGGGCCCTTAGTTCTGTGCCGCCTTGTGCTGGCTCAGATACTGGGAGAAGTCATCAGAGAACTGCCAGCCTTGGCATCTCTTGACTCAGAGCTGAGTTTCCCCCACGGACGGAGGAGGAGGACAGGCTGGGTTAGGGGTGGCTCTTTGCAGTCTCAGATCTTGTAACAGGAAATTCCTGCGAAGCCTCAAATGAGCTGAGAACTCCCAGGGCTTTGTGGGCTGTCCCCTTACATAATGCTGACTCAGGTTCCCCAGAGCAAACCTGCCATGTGGACTACAGAATGTGAAGTTCTCAAGATTGGGTTCCAATCCTGACGCCTCTCTCTCCAGCTTTGGTGCTCATGGCTCCTCCACCCTGCTCTACCTTCAGCCATTGTGTGCAGTGAATCCCCTCCTGCTCAGACCCAGGCCCTAGGACATTTACACTGGCTGGTTATCAGATGGTTACATCAGCAGCACCTGCACAACAAGGTTGGCTCCTTATAATACATTAAACCTCATCACGTTTCTTACAGATAATCTTGGCCAAATTTTTGTTTTCTGCAGAACTAGACTTTTATAATGATAGAACTTAAATCAGTTTAATTATCTGGCCTTCCCAGAAGAAACACCTGAAGGGTGGTGGATTCAAATTAAATTTACCTTACTTTCTGCATTTTAATCATTGTGTGCAGTGAGGACCATGAGAACCTGCTACTGGCAGAGCCTTAAGAAAGGTACTCAGTCAACATGCATTGACCCTCAGCCGTAAACTAAGACTCACAATAAATCAAGGAAGATAATGAGTGTCCTACACTACGGTGTCCAGGGATCACCTGTTACAGTGTGTGCGTTTAGTTTGCTGAGTCTGAGAATGGCAGACTAGGAACATAGTATACATGCATTTGCGTGTGTATGTACACACATGGCCTTCATCCGTATGGGAACGGGAGAGCCCAGGGACCTGAAAGATCATTGATGGTTCTCCCCTACTTTAGAGAAGTCACCTGACTGGGGGCCAGGGAGGGAGGCTGGGGCTTGGGTGATAGGAGGAAAAGGTCGGAAGAAGAGATGAGTCCAGTTAATGGTACCTACCCAAGTACAGGTGAAGCTGGGCCCTTCTGAGGGGATGCTGGGCCCCTGTTCCTTAGACATGGGCAACACAGTTTATGGGGAACCCACCACTTGGGTATCAGCACTGTCTGTTGCCTGCAGACTCCCTCCCCTAACAACTGGTACTCAGAGCCCTCCCCAAGTGGCCAGATGTAGTAATAAGGGCGGCGGGGCTGCGTCCCCAGCACCCCAGCCACCTGCTCGGCTAGCTTATGCCCCAAAATAATTACACGGACACTGTATTCTTTTAAACACTGCTTGGCCCTTTAGCTCTAGCCCTTGCTGGCTAATTCTGATATCCCAATCAACCCATCTCTAATAATCTGTGAGAACCGGTCTTACCGGGAAGATTCTAGCCTAGTCCATCCTGGGTCGGAGCTTCATGGCGTGTGTCTGCCCGGGGTGCTGGGAGCGGGGCATGGCGTCTCTCTGAGGCGTCTGCTCCCAAGAGGAGAACTGTCGAGTCTGACCTCACTTCCTCTTCCTCCCAGCGTCCTGTTCTGTTTACTCCTCCCACCTATCCTCTAACCAATAAAATGGGCCAGGGCAGTTCCTTTATTAGCCAATGACCTTCCTCCATCATTTCCCCTTTTTCGGTTTAAACAAAAAAAAAAAGGCTTTAACTTTAACATAGAAAATTACATATAACAAAACAGTTATCAAGTAAAAGTTACAATAATCTTTATCATAACTAAGGAAAACTATAACTATAACTAACTATTCTTAACTCCATCAAAGACTCCAGAAAGATACAATACTACCTAAGCAAACAAGAAAAAAGCAACTTTTAAAACTCTAGAAATGACAGAGACATCTCGCTGCCTGGACAGTCACCCAAAGTTCCTCTGTACCATTGGGGCATCCATCTTCAGCCTTCAGGCCCATGGTATCCAGTAGACATTTCCATAAAGCAGGAAAATTCAAAGTCAGTTCAGTCACTATCTGTTGTGTCCTGCAGAATGTCTCGCAGACTCTTTCATGAATCAGGAACCCCGAAAGATCATCTCACCTTAGGCAAGTTCAGTAGTCTTCTCTCTGTGGGATCTCTGTGTCCAGTTTATGCAATAGTCCAGGCAAGAGCAGTTTCTTGCACAAATGGCTATCAAACTCCATAAGGTGACTTTTCGATGCCCATCTTCCTCTTGAAGTAGATTGGTGCTGCCAGGAGCAGAGTGTCTCATTGTCATGAAAAGTCCTCAGTTATTAAAACATTAAATGTCCTATTCTG